CAAAAAATACTTGAAAATCTTGGCATTCTACCATATCAAGTAGAAGTGCAGAAGGAAGTAGCGATGGAGGTTGTGGAGTACCTAAACACTATGTTTAGGCCAGCAAATCAAGGCACTGAACAAGAAACAAAAGATATGGAGGTAGATGCAGACTAGGGGACTCATCACAACAATGAAGAAACACATGGACTGCTACACATAACCACATAGCTCTGTTAATCTTTTTTTTTCATTCACTTATTAGGTGGTTAGGTGTATTTTGTTGATTACAATGATGCAAACATGTAAGGAAGTCTTATGTAAGGTCTTTTGATGAAGGTATGGTCCTTTTGTACCCATATTTTGAATGGAATAGAAATGAAAAAGAATCAGCTGTTATGTGGGCACTCAATCCATCAGAAGCTTTATATGCCATTGTTGAACACAGCACTAAGTCACAAGGTTACCTCAACAACAACAGCATAAAACAAATTGTTGGAGCAAAACACTTGTGTTTAGTGAAATTCAATGAAGTCCCTTCATCATTTGGATTTGACAAAGTAAACAACATAGTTAAATGGGGGACTCGATACAAATCAAGCTAAAAAAGATAATCAATGGGGACTCCTTTAAGAAATGTTTAAAAACAGTAAGGTACGGGCATGTGTTCTCTACCCAAATGATCATTGAGAACACTATAAGGTATAACCATGCCAACATTAGAAAAGAAAGCACACAGAAGCCTCATCATTCATCAATCAAACCCCTATAGGCACCATATGTCATTTTGGCAACACCAAACCAATCATGGAAGCCAGTGAAACCAAAACATGCAGTATGAAGCAACAACAAGCCAACATAATTCATCAAATCAAACCAATAATAATCCAACTAGCAAACATAATCCTTCAGAAAAAGGCTACAAGAATTCCAACAAGCCAATAATCTACAACAATTACCAGTATTGGATGTCAAGTCCAACAAGCCAGCATATTCCAACAAGCTAGCAAATCAGACCAAAACACCAACACATACATGAAGCCAACATAATAAAAAATTACAAACATAGAAAAGAATCTAAAAGATCAGACAAATGAACTCAACACAACCAAACAGCCAATAGGTACAACAACCTAACACGATCAGAAATAAGCAACAAAGTCAACAAGCCATCAAATCAAATCAACATACTATTAAAAAAAACCAATGGAAAGGGACTCAAATAAAAAATTAAATAATTTAGGGTTAGGAATCGTTACGCAAGCAGTCACCAAACCAATCAGGGACTCAAAGGAGGGCCCTGCACTTCACCATCTTCCACGGGAGGGGCAACCTTCTTTGAAGGAGGTGATGAACCCTCCTCCTATCTAGCTCATCATTAGAGGACACCAAGATTATCTCATGAATTGGCAGGTCACGCATCTGACTTAAAGCCACCAACGTCGCCTTCCTTTTAGCTCGGATCTTCGGGGGTGGCCTAACCCTCTTAGATCTGGGCTTTTTGGTGGGCACCGAACTCCCCTCTCCAGTTTCAAGGACTAGATCTATAGGTTCAGCACTAAATTCAAGCGTTTTCTTGCCACGGGACACCCGTTGACCTTCAGCCCTTAACAAGCGCTCAACGACTTTAGGGACCTTACCCAAAGCCTTGTAGGTAGTCGATGTACAGTAAGGACCAGCCTCACCAGAATCATAGAATTGGCGAGGAAAAGGAGATCCGGTTTCAATAGATTGAATCAGGGACACAATCAAATTACCCTCACCGACGTCGTCGGTGGCCATGAAAGCCTCGTGAAGTGGATCAAGGTTAATCATGTTCTTGGGGGACTCGTTTTTTTCAAGATCTGATATCTCAAGGTAAGATCTAGAGAGTAAGAGTAGAGAAAACTAGGGACGAACAGGAGAGAGAAAGACGAAGAAGATGAACTAGGGTTCATAAGGAGAGCTCTCACAGAAAATAAAAGGAAGCCCAGCCATCATAATTTAATTTTTGGTGGTTGGGAATGTGAGTAAATGAGAGTAGTTGGGGAAAATGGGATAATAAATGGAGAGAGTAATTAGATTAGGGTGATCTGATTAGTTTTAGGTTAATGTGATTAAAATAAGATAAGGGTAAAATTAAGAAAATTTAAATTTTTAAGTAAGGGTAAATATGTAATTTCCAGGGTTTTTGTTTACTAAAAATAGAAAGAAAATAGAAAGTTGCACATAATATTTAGCAGACATGATATATGCGTTTTATACCATCTTTTATCCCGGTTTCATAGCGTATTTTTCATGGTTTTGAGCTTTACGGAGCTATTTCTCACTAACAATCTCTTCTTTAGTGTGTTCAATCTATTTGAATGAGCTTCACAGGAAAACGAAGATTTCTTGGATGTTTTGGACTTGTTTTGGATGGTCAAATAAGAGGTTGTTAAGTGAAAGAGGAAATTCCCCAATGCCCTACCGGGCACCCCATGCCCTGGCTGCCAGGGCAAAGAAAGAATAAGTTAACTATGAAGAATCATCAAAAATCCCGCATGCCCAACCGGGCTTGCAAAGCCCGGAAAGACCGGGCGGTGAGGACATGCAGTGCAAAGCTATATTTTGACGTTGTTACACGCACCCGACCGGGCATGCAAAGCCCTGGCAGGCCGGGCGGAAGAAGAAAACTTCAAAATCTGGACTTACCCCGTATGCCCGACAGGGCATCCTTCGCCCGGGCAAACTGGGCACAGCTTCGAAGTTACCCGTTTTTAATTATTTTTGGATTTTATCTTTCTTAGGGGTATAAATACCCATTGTAATCATAATTAGAGGACAACTTTTATTTTCCCTAGTATTAGAACTTCATTAAACCCTAGTTTTTCTCTCTCTACATAGTTTGATTTCTACTCTTTAATTTTGCATTATTGTTCATCAACAATTCGAGCTTTTTCAATTGAAGTAATTGGTATTCATCTACTCTCTTTCCTTTACCTTTTTATTTCTTATTAATTATGTTTTCTTCGTTGAATCTTGTTTTTGTTTTCGTTAGTATGTGTGAGTAGATCCATAATCCGGGATCTTGCGGAACCCGAATATGTTGATATATGAATTGAATCTTTAAATTCTCCAATAATAATCCCAATTTACATGCTTAATTGATTGTGTTTATTCCAATGCTAAATTAGGAATAATTAGTATTGTTATCATCCCTTTGTTCTTATCGCAATGGAAGTTGGGTATTAACGGGATTTGGGTATTTCATTTAAGGATTTGAAGTTCATCACGGAAGTAAATGATTGGATGATTAGGAAGTTAAGTATTGTGTTTAATGTCCCTTATTTGCTTGATTCCATGGAAATAGGCTTGATAGTTGATTTGGGAAGCCATTGATAACTCGGAAGAGACCTTTGGTATTGTCTAGGTAATGCTTTTCCTCTTGTTAATTGATTTGTTATCAGGGGTAGATTTATTAGTGCATTGATTATATTCGTGGTAATTCTTGATCTTGGATGTTTTAGTTCATTACTTCATCACTTTCTTTAGATTAATTGTGTTATTTAGTATTCTAGTTATTAGTATTCTTCATCAATGAATTGGTTACTTGCTTAGTGATTGCTTGAGTCTAATTAATTAGGTGAACCTTAGTCTCTTGGGATTTAATCCTTACTTGCCCGTCTACATAGTAGTGGTCTTGTTTGGTTTATTTTTGTTAGGTACGCAACACGCCTACCAAATTTTGGCGCCGTTGCCGGGGACTACGGTTTTCATCTAGTTATTTGTGATTCGTTTTTACTAAGCTATTGATTTGTTGCTTCGGCTATTGTCCCTTGTATTTTTGATCTCCTCTTTTTAGTTCTTTGTTGCATGCAAACTCGACATTCAGGTTTAGACAGCTTAACACCTTTTGACTCTGAAATCAAAGCTACCGCAAGGAGACGAAGAGGTAGAAGAATGAGATATCAAAATAAAATGACCGAAAGAATCAAATCTTTATTGGAGTACGGCATTCCTGATACCACAACCGGGCTCCTATCCAGCATTGTCAGACCACCTTTTACCGCTCAGAGCTTTGAATTAAAACCTCAATTCATACAGTTCATCTCCAATGACTCATTTGCAGGCACACCTCATGAATGCCTTGTTAGTCACATAGACAGTTTCTTGGAGAAGTGTAAAACCATAAAGCTCAACGTCGTTACCGATGATGCTATCAGACTTTGTTTATTCCCTTTTTCACTACGGGATAGAGCAAAGGAATGGTTACGAGACGAAGGTATAGGCTCTTGTGATACATGGGATAAGCTTGCCAAAGCTTTCTTAGTAAGATTTTTAGGGCAAGAGAAGACTGCAAGGTTAAGGGACGAGTTAGCTACCTTTCGTCAATCTGATGATGAGTCTTTATATGAGGCATGGAGAAGATTCAAGCGCTTACAGAGACAATGCCCTCATCACGGTATCCCAGAGTGGATGTTAATCCAAACATTCTACAATGGTCTGACCCATGAGTTCCGCATATACATTGATGCTGCATCCGGGGGTTCTCTCATGACTAAGAACCCAACTAAAGCCAAAGAGCTAATTGAGAAGATGGCAGCCAATGATAATTATAATCCAGGGGGCAGAAATACTGTGAAGACTAGAGGAAAAAATTTGATGTTGATGCTTTTACTCTCTTGACAAGTTTTGTATAAGCATTAACAAGCAAGTTTGATAAACTTCAAGTTGGATCCTCTTCAACTTCATTCGAAACACGTCAATTATGTGGTATTCAAGGCAACATTGCATCACAATGTCAACCTCCCTCTGACGAAATGTCAATCGAGTAAGCAAATGCCTTCTCTACTACGGCACCTAAAAGGCCGTATGATCCTCATTCAAACACATACAATGAAGGGTGGAGAAATCATCCGAACTTCTCTTATAAGAACACTCAAGCTCAATTGAATTCTCCGTCACCACCACCTACCTTTCAAGTAAGGGCATCATTTAATCACCAACCCATGAATCAAAAACTGCCACCACAAACTTCAAAATACGATCTTGATTCCATTATGGAGACTTTCACTACTTCCCAACTTCGACAGCAAGAGCTTATGACAAAGCAATTTGAGCTACAAGCAAAACAAAATGAACACTTTGAAAGTTCGATTCAAATGCTTTTTGCTCAAAATAAGAGGATAGAAACTCACCTTTCTCAACTTTCACAACAAGTGAGTCATTTATCAACTCTTCATGATCAAGCAAAAGTCCAAAAGGAACAATGCAATGCAGTTTTCTTGAGAAGAGATGAATTATTTTCGAGGAAAATAGATGAGAAAGTGTGCAGTGTAGAGTCAAGAAAAGATGAAAAGTGTGAGGATGAAAAAAGTCCCAAATATGTTGCTCCACCGGCCTATGAGGAACCAATGCCCTTCCCGCAAAGGTTGTCAAAAGCCATGCTCGATAAACATTTGGGAAATATTGCGAGACTCTTAAGAAGGTATATGTTCCATTCCTTTTTCTGATCTTTTAATTCAAATGCCTCAATTTGCAAAATTTGTGAAGGAAATTAAAGATCAACATGATGATAAGGAAGTAGTAAATGAGAAATGCTCTACTCTTTTACGTGATAGCCTACCACCTAAGCTGCATGATCCTGGTAGTTTTACTATTCCCTGTATGATAAACGAAATATGTATTTGATAGGGTTTTGTGTGATTTAGGTGCTAGTGTTAATTTAATGCCTTATTCATTATATGAAAAATTAGGTTTGCAAAAACTTAAACCTTCCCCTATTTCTCTTCAAATGGCTGATAGGACTGCTGGACTCGTGTGGTTGAAGATGTATTAGTTAAGGTTGGTGAACTTGTTTTTCCTGTTGATTTTGTTGTTATGGATATGAAAGAAGACCATAAGATCCCGATTATATTTGGTCGTCCATTCCTTGCCACAAGTCAAGCTCTAATAGATGTTTCTAAAAGACAAGTGACCATTAGGACCCATGATAAATAAGTAGTGTTTAAGCTCTTTAATGAACATAATTTTATATTTGATGGTGGTACTTGTTTAAGAAATGATGCTACTAACCATTTGGTTGTTAAGTGTGTATTTGACAAAAATCTTGTGAGAAAAGAGGACAATATTCCACCAAAGGATGTGTTTAGCTACATGAAAGTAAGTTAGGATACAAAGCATGTCAAATATAAAATGAAGGAGTCATTTGGAGGGGGATATTTTCATGGGCAACATTGCGGAGTTTCTTCTTTGTGTGGTGACCCAGGTTGAGCTAATAAAGAAGGTAAAGCTTAAGACCTTAAACAAGCGCTTTGCGGGAGGCTACCCGTATTTTATTGTTTTTTATTTTAGTCTTTTCTAATTTTTGTGTGTTTTCATTTTTTTTTTTTTTGGTTCTTAGAGAGGTAAGGAGAGTGTATCTTATGCTATTGGAGTTTCTATTAGTGTAGGTTTTTGATCTAAGAAGGCTGATTTAAAGGGAGAAGAAATCTGGATTGCATTCGGGCTCGATCGGGCAGAGCTTAGCCCGATCGGGCGCGCATACGGATCAGCGAAACTGCTCAACTTCAAAATGCCATAACTTTCTTGTTACTTATCGAATTTTTGCGCGACCTATCGTTAGAAAGCCTTTTCAAGTCTACTTTCCAATGCAATTAGAATCACTAAATTATCATTTATACATCAAAAGTTATGATCAGAATAGTGCACATGACTCAATTTTTATCTTTTTCCCACTAACACTCTGTTTCATTCTTGTTCAAATTTGTTCCAGAGAGATGTGATAGGCCGTCATCGAGCCTACCAAAATATAAATTCCTATCTTGGTCTCACTAACTAATAGCAAGGGTAAGAAAGGGTCGAACCCAAGAGAGGCGTTGAATCAACCACCGAGTACTACCGTTTAAATAAGCTAAATGAAGTCGAAATTGGTTTGGTCTTGAGTAATTTCTACTAGTTCGATTCAACTAAAGCTAAGAGGAGATTAACAATATTTAGAGGAATCTAAGACTCGGGTTATACCACTCAACTTCATCACAAATCATGATTAGCATGCAACAATCAAGGTAAATTAAGGGGATAAATTAGGGGAAATCATCTAAGGCACCCAACTACTCTCTCAAGCTAGAGGGATTACTTGAATCATGAATACATCCTACTCTCGTGGTTACAAAGCATAAAACAAGTGTTAAAGCATAATCACGATGACATAAACATTCCCTTGACCGGAAATTTCTATTCTCATGGCATTTCAAGTCAATTAAGCATAAGGGAGCTAACTAAAGTTCATCTCTCAATCCTTCGTTGAGAAAGCGATAAATAGTTCTAGCAATGGCCACATACAAGAACTAAGCAATTAAACCACTTAAGCTCAACTAATTAACAACCAATAATTACCCAATTATTACATGCAACAAGTAATTAGTGACTACATTGAGGGTTTTACCCAAACCCTAGAAATTAGACTACTCACAATCCATGGAGATTAAAGCAATTAAAGATTTCAAGCAATTCATGAACAAGTTCAAACTAAGGATTAAGCTAATTAAAAATCTAAGCATGCAAGCATTAAGCAAGTAATTAACAACAAAGTAGAGAGGAAAGGAAGAGAATAGTAAGAAATAGTTACTATGAAGCTTCAAAGTGAGCAACAATGGTGGAACTTGTATTCTACAATGATTGAAGTTGAATATTTCCAAGCTAATAATTAGAATCTAACTAATGATTTGAGAATTTAATGTTCTAGGATTGCAAAACTAAGAGAAAGCTCTAAAAACATTTATTATTCGTATAAATGAGCTCAAAGGGGGTATTTATAAGACCCCCAAATAAAAAGGACGGAGAAAACAAGAATCAAGGTCAACTGTAGGTCGGCACGGACGTGATGCCTTATGCACGGCCGTGCAGGGCATGGCAGAGCTACTGTTTGGGCTGGAAATCATGCACGGGCGTGCCAATTAAGACACGGACGTGCAGCCTCTTCTGCACGGACGTACCAACTTAAGCACGACCGTGCAGGCCTTGACAGAAGGTTCTTACTTGCTGGAGCATTCCTACACGGTCGTGCAGATATCTGCACGAACGTGCTAGGTATCTTGCACGAGCGTGCAGGGCAAGGCAGAAGCTCTTATGTTGCTGGAGCACTCCTACACGGACGTGCAAGACTTGGCACGGCCGTGCAGGCTCTTCTAAGCCCTTTTCTTCATCTTTTTTTCTATACTGCTCCTTTCCTTGGCTTCTTTCTACCATCTTCTTGCTTCTAACCTCGGTTTAGTATCCATGGGCTTCATTTGGTCGTCTTTGGACCTAGAATCTCAACAAAAACACTAACAACCCATGAAGCATAGGATACACAAAAATTGCATAATAATAGAGTAAAAGTGAACCAAAACACAAATTTATCAAGTAAACTAGGTTCAAAAACACCCTAAAATCATATCAAATAGAAAGTTATCAAGATGCATTGCAATCCTCGAGGCTTTGGTGACATTGATGTGGTGATGATGATGAGGAGTAGTCACCTTAACTACTAGCTTCCCTTTAAGACAATGGGGACATCGTCTAATTTAGCTTGGGGGGAGGTTCTCGTGTACGCATGGTATATCTTTCACCCTCTCTCTTTTTATTTATTTATTATTATTATTTTCTTTCTTTTGGTGTGTTTAGACTAGTTTTTTTTTAATTATTATTTGCTTTATAGGTTAGTTTTTATGCTTCCCTGTGCCCCTTGATGAAATTTTTTTCAAAATTGTTTTTATTCTTGGTTATTGATGATAAATTTTGTGGATTAGTTGGTCATGATTTGATATTTAATTGCTTTGAAACCTTAATATGCGTCAATTTTTCCCAACTACTTGTGAATATAGTGCTTGACTAGTTGATTTTGGTAAGGAATGTGTGTTAGTTCCTGGTATGTTAATGAAGTTGAGTATTGGTTTATAACTTTGAGTAATGTTTGTATGATTCATTATCATGCACATTGAAGAGGACAAAGGCATTTGTTCCTTTAGGTGGCCTTCAGACGATACTAGATACATTTGTTCCCTTCTTGCTACCCATGTTGTTGCTTGTGCCCTTTTATTGTTTATTTAGCCACATTACAAGCCTATTTAAGCCCCATTGGTTACTAGTCCCAATCTTAGCTTGGGGGAGCTAATAGTGAGTGAGGTGAGGGAGTTGTAGTGTGCACATAATTTACACAACTTAGGTGGATTTGAGAAGTAATTTGTTTGTTCTTATTTTGTGGATTGAAAAAAATTGAAAAGGTGTTCAAAAGTTGAAAATTTTCCAATGTGAGATAAAAAGGAAAAAAAAAAGAGAAAAAATTATTCCAGTGTTCAAGTGTTCTAATGAAGGTTGCTCAAAAGAAAAGAAAGAGAAAAATTAGTTTCAAGGAAAGATTGGGAAAGAAAAAATGTTCAAAGTTTGTTTGATTCACTCTAATTCTATAATGTTTATTTTTATGAGTGATTTATCGTAAGAGTTGAAAATATGTGATATTATTGGATTGGTTGTTTGGTGAATTTTTGTAGTGCTGAGTTGTGTTGGAGATGATTGGTCATTATTTATTTTTGACCTTCACTAGGCGAAAAACATAAATAGGCACCGGTTCAAACCACCCTATGGGCACCGGTTTTGAACCGCTGGGTATTTGAGGGATGCCAAATCTCTGAAGATTTGGCACCGGTTCAAAACCGGTGGCTATTTAAATATTTGGCACCGGTTAACCGGTGCTAAATACACTCTTTGGCACCGGTTAACCGGTGCCAATTACCCATGGCGCTTTTTTTTCAATACAATAGGTAGTGGTTTTGACTTAGAACCGGTGCCAAAAGTCCCTAAAAAAATTTTAAAAAAAACTTTTAGCACCAGTTCTTTTCCAAAACCGGTACCAAAAATGCCCAAAAAAATAATAAATTTTTTTTGCATTTTTTCACTTAAATTGTACCAAATACTTATATATAATCATAATATACATAAAACACATATATTTTCTTTGATAAATTGTAATATTACACTTTAAAAAACTGAAGAAAAAAAAATACAGAATCAAGGTCTGGAGAAGTAGAGCCCTTGATTTAACAGCCAGGTCAACTTTCCTTTTGTAAGCTGCTGTTTTCTATTGCCTGTGTTGCTTGCTTTGTGTCTGGTTGCTGGTTTTTGTTTGCAGGGTGTGTTTAGCTGTTGCTGGCTACTGCTTTCTGTTTCTAGCTGCTTAGGCTCTAGCTGGTGTGTGCTGGTTCAGGCTGCTAATTTTGTTGCCTGCTCTTTCAGCTGCTGTGATGCTGCTGTTTGGTTGCTGAACTGGTTTTGCAAAGCCTGTTGGCTATCTGCTAGTTGTTAGCTGTTGTCTGGTGGTGCTGTGCCTGCCTGGTGCTGGCTGTTGCTGTTGTTTTACCTGTCAAAGCTGCTAAACACACACACACACACACACACACACATAGACACACACACACACATATTGTATATGGGGAGGACAAGACATTAATAACATGGTTTTTGCTTGTAGAAAATAGCCACTATTAATGTTGTCCCTCTGAGCTAATCCAACAGTGAAAGTTACCAAGTATTTTGGCTTCTTTTTCAAATCCTGCAGGTAAAAGTGATACGGTAATGAAAAAAAAGAAGATTTTTGAGCAAAAAAGAGGGGAAAGGAAAGGGTAGTTTCAATATTTTCTTCAAAATCAATCAACATATCTCAAAAAAAGAGAAAAGGGTTGGGGGAGGTTATCAAACTAAGACATAACAACAATTCCTAATGCATAAGTTTGTATGCACACAGAAATTTGAGTGAAAAGTGTACACAGAAATTGCAAGAAAATCCTTCAAACCAACAGTCTGCCTTTTTTCCAATAGATAAAGTATACATTACATCAATGAGACTAGGTCATTAATGCAAAAAAAAAGTAGATAATAGACTATGAGAGTTGAGAACTATTTGAAAAAAATTTGGGATCCTGAGAAGTTAAATCAACTTATTTAAATTTTAGTAGCTTTTCTGTCTCAAGGTTTTCTGCAGCTTTGCCCTCAGATAGAGAAATTTGATTCAATGGGAAATATATGGAAATTTAGCAAGGTTCCTTTATTATGAACTTGTGCAATGTTTCAGCATCATAATTGAAGGAGTATCAATCCGATACTTGAACAGAAACAATCAACAGCACTAAAATAAGTATTGGTTGGGTCAATAGAAGTGTACCTCACTCGGTTCACCCCACAATATTCGAAGAAAAAAATCACTTTCTCCTACTACAATTCCTGGAGGTAACATCTCAGCACCACGCGGGTTGGTTGGTACATATATCTGAAAAAATACCAGTAAACTGTTACCAGCCAAATAATAAATGGAATATCTATCAAGCAACAAAATAGCCACAAACCACATTAATTCTACATTTACAGGGGGTCAGGAAGAGAGTCAATATTAAAGCAAGTTTCACAGCAATGAAAATCATACTTTAATTCAAGCACGATATGATGTTTGATGAGGCTACAAGTCTACAACTGATCTGGAACTCCTTCAATAAAAAGCTCTTAGTAAAATAAAAATAAATAAACTCTACAACATTTCCATCAAAAGTCATAACAAATACCAAATACCTATGTCTATGACATAGGCAAAGCTACTATAAAGGGTAGAACAGTGAAGATAATATGTTGATCAACTGTCATGGTCTCAAGATATAGCAGCACTGCAGTAAGAATAAAGCAAAAAAATTGCAATAAAAATTTGACACTTAAAACCTGATTGTTTTTGTTATCAAAGTTTGATTTTATTTATTACTGGGAAAATGTACTCCCTCAGTTTTCTCATTTGGAATTTTTTGAGAGATTCCAATGGAAATGGAATCTAACACTTCAACGGTTTTTCAGTACCTCAAAATATAACCATATGGAATCTTGTTAGATTCGTCTTTATTTCTATTATTCAAAAATGCAATTTCACAAGAACTTTGAAAGATATTTAAATTACAATGTTGCATTTAAACTATGCAAAAAGAAACTAGGACAAACATAAATCAACGAAGAGAGTAAACAGTTTTTTGTTTGGTATAAATGATGGTGGGTCAAAAAACAGAACTCCCAAAATACCTTAATGCAGACTATATACATTCTTCTTGTTGATTAACAATAAAGATATCATATTTTCATGTAGTTATGCAATCATGATACAGCGTATAATTGGACAACAAAGGCTTCTAGTCAGTCATTTCGTGTAACTCATACAATGATGCAGAAATTTAAACAATGCTAGCCTAGATTAATATGTTTGAAACTATGATAACTTAACAAACACCCAAGCAACCCAAATTTAAGGCACAAAACAATATAAAAACATTATCATATTTAATTTTCAATTGAATTTCTCTTTTGAAGCCTGAACTCATTAAAACCCATTGACCCTTATCCGACCTCATTGGCCCTTTTATGAATATCAAATTATAATCAACTGGAAAGCCCTTATTTCAACACAACATAAGGTCAAAGGCAAAATAAGAAATTAAGCTATATAAAAGAGAGCTCATGCTGCTACCATGAATGACAACTATATGTTGTTTTAGGCCAAAAAATGTAACACGATCACACATGATTATGATTTGAGGATAGGAGGGAGAGAATTAGTACGCTGTGCTGAGGATATCGGGATGGACATTGTACTCCTTAGCGAAGACAAATGGTACGATTCCTTGAGGAAGAGCAACCTGAGGATCAAATCAAACAATGAGTAGTGAGCTACATTACATTTATATATCCAATAATTCACCAAATAAGTGGTTGCGAGTAGTATGAATGTAATTCTAATTACCTGTACTATGGCAATGTGTAAGAGGGTTCCTCTAAGAAAAAAGAGAGCATGAGAAATGTAATCCTACCTTTAAGAGAAAGAATTCTCGAGTTAGGGTTCATCAAAACAGAATCAGCCGTGATGGGACGCCTCAAAGGTTGATTAGGCATGTTCATGTCAATAATAACAACGCTGTTCTAAGGCGAGGTCTCTCTCACACAAATGTACTTGTCTGATTCCATCGTTACATGAGTGAAAATAATGAACTGTGAACCTATTTCTACACTTGGAAGCTGCAAATCCCAATAAATAGCATAAAAACTCAGCTTCACTCCAAACTTATAGAATCCAACAAAATTTCTTAGTTTTACAAAATTAAGAATCAAAAGTATCAACTTAAGTTCATATGAATTGCACCAACTCATTTCAGTTTCACCTCAAACAAAGGTAGAGTTCGTCCTAATTTCACTGAATTTACAGATCATAATTCAGTATCACTTAAACTAAACTACTTCCAATTCGCAAATTCCAATAATTCCACCAACTCAACTTAACTACTAATCAAAATCAATAACCAAGCATAATTAGCAACCCTAAAAATCGCATATTTCTAGTGAATCAACCAAACTCAATTATATCGACATAATTATACAAAATTTCCAATCAAATCTATAACAAATCACATCAATCAAAGTCCAGATCAACTAAAAAGCTCAATCACGACAAAGATCTGAGCAGATCCGATAAAAAACACCAAACATACAAACAACACCAAAATCACTAGGGTTTTGAACTGAAATAACTCAAACAACAAAAAACACCAAAAAAACTCAAAATGAATTGGACCAAAAGACCAAAATATAATGTAAAGCTAAATAACCCAGAAACCCTAACCTCGAATTTCTGATTTTTGGTTCGAAATTGATTCAAATTTGTTGTTGTTGAAGACGCACGAACATCGATTTAATTCAAGATAGACGAACCCAGAAACCCTAACCACCAATATTGTAGAAAGAGAGAAGAAAGGAAAAGGAAAGTGGCGGTTATGGAGAAGGAGATCGAAGGAGAGAGAAGGAGTTTGAGGAAAGTGCTTAGAGAAAGCTCAGAAGCCCCTTCAATGGAGAAATTCGAGTATGCTTCAATGGAGGAGAGAGAGAGGCAGATCAGATAATGAGAGAGGAAGAAAGATCGAGGAAATGAAAGCAAGAGAAAGAAAGAGTATATCTGGTTTTTTTTTTATATATTTTACAATAGATTTAGCACCGGTTCGAACCGAACCGGTGCCAAATCCCTTTCTCCCCTTTTTTTTTAAAATAAATATTTTTTTATTTGGCGCCGGTTTGAACCGGTGCCAAAAAGATGATTTGCCACCGGTTTGGCTGGAACCGGTGCCAAAAGCTTGTTTTCCAATCCCGCCCATTTTTTTAACCACCGGTTTCCAAAAACCGGTGCCAAAGGTGGGGTGCCTTTGTCATTTTTTCTACTAGTGCTTGGTTCTATTATAATTTGGCTCCCTTAAGCATGGCTTTATTCTCACATTTTCCCAAATGTTTCCTACCTTTTACCCTAACCTTACGTTACAAGCTTTAAATACCTTCCGACTTTTTTGCATGGAGTTGTATGGATGTGAAAGTAGTTGTCTATCAATGCGAAGAATGATTTGATATATTCCGAGTCGACTATTAGGTTGAGTGTATGTCTTTTAAACACACGAGTGCGTGAGTTGGGAGGGCATTGTTCACATATAAAGGGGTGGTTGGAGAGGGGTCGAGTATAAATGAGAGTTGAGTGTGTGAGCACTAGTCTTGAATTCTATATGCTCTTGTGGTTTGCTCTATTTGACAATTGTTAGGGAAGATTGGTAGTTGGGTGGATTTGATTGATTGACTTTGATACATATTTGTCGAATTTACCCTTGGGGGAATTTGATATATGTGTTTTATACCATGTTTTATCCCGGTTTCACAGCGTATTTTGCATGGTTTTGAGCTCTACGGAGTTATTTCTCGCTAACAATCTCTTCTTTAGTGTGTTCAATCTAATTGAATGAGCTTCACAGGAAAACGAAGATTTCTTGGATGTTTCGGACTTGTTTTGGATGGCCAAATAAGAGGTTGTTAAGTGAAAGAGGAAATTCCCCAATGCCCTACCGGGCACCCCATGCCCTGGCTGCCAGGGCGAAGAAAGAATAAGTTAACTATGAAGAATCATCAAAAATCCCGTATGCCCGACCGGGCATGCAAAGCCCGGGAAGACCGGGCGGTGAGGTCATGCAGTGCAAAGCTATATTTTGACGTTGTTACGCGCGCCCGACCGGGCATGCAAAGCCCTGGCAGATCGAGCGGAAGAAGAAAACTTCAAAATTTGGACTTACCCCGTGTGCCCGACAGGGCATCCTTCGCCCGGGCAGACCGGGCACAGCTTCGAAGACGCGTTTTTAATTATTTTTGGATTTTATCTTTCTTAGGGGTATAAATACCCATTATAATCATAATTAGAGGACAACTTTTATTTTCCCTAGTATTAGAACTTCATTAAACCCTAATTTTTCTCTCTCTACATAGTTGGATTTCTACTCTTTAATTTTGCATTATTGTTCATCAACAATTCGAGCTTTTTCAATTGAAGTAATTAGTATTCATCTACTCTCTTTCCTTTACTTTTTATTGCTTATTAATTATGTTTTCTTCATTGAATCTTGTTTTTGTTTTCGTTAGTAAGTGTGAGTAGATCTGTAATCCGGGATCTTGCGAAACCCGAATATGTTGATACATGAATTGAATCTTTAAATTCTCCAATAATAATCCTAATTGACATGCTTAATTGATTGTGTTTATGCCAATGCTAGATTAGGAATAATTAGTATTGTTATCATCCCTTTGTTCTTATCGCAACGGAAGTTAGGTATTAACGGGATTTGGGTATTTCATTTAAGGGTTTGAAGTTCATCACGGAAGTAGATGATTGGATGATTAGGAAGTTAAGTATTGTGTTTAATGTCTCTTATTTGCTTGATTCCACGGAAATAGGCTAGATAGTTGATTTGGGAAGCCATTGATAACTCGGAAGAGACCTTTGGTATTGTCTAAGGAATGCTTTTCCTCTTGTCAGTTGATTTGTTATCGGGGGTAGATTTATTAGTGCATTGATTATATTCGTGGTAATGCTTGATCTTGGATGTTTTAGTTCATTGATTCATCACTTTCTTTAGATTAATTGAGTTATTTAGTATTCTAGTTATTAGTAGGAAAATTTGAATTTTAGTACCTCGAATATGGGGGTAATTGAATTTTAGTACCTGATTAGGGGATTTTTATCCACCAATCACCGTCTGACAAGTGGACCAACCAGGTTCCGCCACGTGTCCTTCACGTAGGCCAATAGGAGCCTGCCACGTGTCAATCACAGATACGTCCTCTACGGACCAATCGAGGCACGCCACGTGTCCACCCATGCCAAATGGGAAAACCGGCCAACAAGGCCCAATCCTGTCTAGAGGCCCGGTCAGCCCTAGGTTTACCCTAAACCTAGAGAGTGGCACGCTTCTCAAGACTATAAATACTTAATTAATCCTCATTAATTAAGCAATCAAGAAATCAAGAGAACATCAAGCAATTGAGAGGCAATTAATCTCACCTGAAGAACAGAGAAGAACAGAAACATTACGGAACACTAATAACCGGCTAATCTCGCTAACAAAGCAGATTACCAACATTAAACACTCTCACCTAGAGAGGTCTTATTACTTTAATTTCCGTATTAATTACTCCTTAATCAGGTACTAACTTGACCGTTGGAGGCGGAGCTCTCAGGAGTCTCCGTTATTTTGCAGGTACAGGCGTCCGGTTCCAGTCTCGGAATTGTAACTCTCCCGCAGGACATCAGAAAACCCCGAAACATTTGGCGCCGTCTGTGGGGAGAGTACTTCAGAGATGGCATCCAAGTCTGTACCGACTCCTGAAGAGAGGCGTCCCCTAAACGACCCTCAAGTTCAGTCGGACCATGACACCGAAAGTGAATTTGAAGTGGAAACTCATACAGCTCCAGACGGGACCCTAAGGGCCCGACGTACCCGTCATACCGAAAGGAGGGAACGGGAGCATCTTCAAACAGGAAGCGAGCCAGCAGGCGCACCGCCTGCTCGGCAACTGCCGACTGATGGGTCTGCTCCCATCACAAGGAACGAACTCATGACCTTCATGAGGGACTTCAAGGGAGAGATTCAAGAGTTGATCAACAAAAAGCCGCCTGCTTCAGTCAAAGAGCAGTCGGCCAAAAAACCTTCCACTTCACTGAAGAGGAAGCCAGTTCAAGGGCGAGAGGCGACTCCTCATCCTAAATCCAAGAAGCGGGAGCCACCTGCTCTTGATTTCACAAAATTCCGTTATCCTACGGGAAATAGGAAACCGGTTCGTCATATTCAGGCGGACGGGTCAAAGCAAACGTTCACAGATGCTCGGCTACTGCTAGAGCAGAAGAAGAGTGACCGATTGTCAGAGTCGGCTTCTACTTCAAATTTTCAAGACAGTTTGCGAAATGCCTCGATGAGGCATACTCAGTCGTACCATGAGAGTCAGTCAGGCGGCACCTCCCGTCAGTCCGGCTTTCATAGTGCCCAGGCGGTACCAAACTTACCATGTGTGCCGCAACAACAGTATTTTATGCAGCCACCTCCATTTGGTGGACCTGCAGCAAAAAACGTCCAACCTATGGACTGGCAGCTACGGTTGCTTAGAGTTGGTGAACAGCCGTCGGCCTTCTCCAAGGAAATTACTGAAGCCGCTCAGCCGGCCAAAGTAAAAAATGTACTAGTAGGCGCCTATGACGGCACTACTAACCCAGAAGACCATCTGATGGCATTCACCAACCTGATGTACCTTCAAGGGTTGGATGATCCCACTTGGTGCAAGTGTTTCCCAGCGACTCTCAAGGGAATCGCACAGCAATGGTTCGGCAACCTGCCGACTGGTTGTGTAAACAGCTTCAGGACGCTTGCTTACTTATTTGCCTCCAACTTCGCCATGAACATCCCTGCGAAGAAAACGACCCTTGATTTGGGAACAATTCAGCAGGGCGAGAAGGAGGGGCTTCGTTCTTACATCAGGCGGTTCAACCTGATGAGAATACAGATTCAAGGGTTACCGGATGAGGTAGCTTATACTGACTTTTTTAGAGGTCTCAAAGACGGGTCTACCTTCAAATTTGATTTAGTTCGAAAAAGGGTGGCGACTCTTCAAGAGGCCTTGATTGAAGCAGAAGCCTATATACAGGCGACTGATCTGTGTACGATAAAACAGTCGGACGGGAAAAGGTTCGACAAAAGAGAAGGACGACAGAAACAGTCGTCTAACAAAGATGAGAAAAGAAAAGAGGTCTGGGCGGTTGATTCCTCTAAACAGCCGGCCCAGAAAAAGAAAAAAGAATTCAAACCATACTCCCCAAAGTATGTGTTTAACAAGGATAACCAGTTTATCCTAAAAGAAATAAAGGGACGGTTCTCAATTGAGAAGCCGGTCCCCATGAAGGGTTCTGCAAACAACCGGAACCAAGACAAAATCTGTGCTTATCATGATGACGTTGGTCATCACACCAATGACTGCATCAGTCTCATGCGGTATCTAGACCGCTTGGCTGAGCAAGGTGATCTTGACACTTATGTCAAGAAATCTACGGGGAACACTTCCTCAAAAAAGCAGTCGGCCAAAAAGAATCAACAGGCCGACAGTTCCGATACAGATGATGCAGTCGTCTACACCATTGCAGGCGGCTTCTCAGGAGGCGGCCCCACTATTAGGGGCAACAAAGATAATATAAGGCGGTTAGATGTAAATTCCGTTCACCAAGAACGGCCGTCCAAATATACATTTCCTGAGATTGTCATCATTGAAGAGGATCTAGGAGGGGTAAGGGGGCCGCATGACGACCCTCTCGTTATTGAATGTAAAGTGGCCAACCAGAGAGTTGGCCGAATCCTCATAGATACCGGGAGCTCCTCAGATCTCATCAGCAGCAAATGTCTGTCAAAACTGAAATATCAGACGGACTGCATACATCCGGCCTCCCACCCTTTAATAAGGTT